GGGGAGCGGCACCGGCACCGGCCCGGGAGCGGCACCGGCCCGGAGCGGCACCGGCCCGGGGCCATGCGGGGCGCGCCCGGCTCCGCGCTGCGGGCGGCGCTGCCGCTGCTGGGCGCCGCCGTGTCCCTCTGCGCAGGTACGGCGGCACCGGGAGCGGCACCGGGAGCTCCGGGAGCGGCACCGGGAGCTCCGGGAGCCGGGCGGGTCGGGGCGCCGCGCTAGAACCCCGCTCACCCATCCCGGCCGTGCGCCCGTCGGCGTTCGGGGCGTTCGGGCTCTCGGTGCCGCTAACCACGGCCGCGCGTACCGATAGCCGGGTCAGCGGGGACTTACCGGGGCGGAATCCCTGATCGCTGGGCTTCCCTCGGCATGCCGGGCGGATCCGGCAGACCCTCGGGCGGAGCGGCACGGCGGCCCTGGCAGGACCTGTCCGGTGCCTGCGCTGCCCGTGCCCCGCTGGGGCACCCGGGTCCTGCCGCACGGCTTCCTCTGCCCGGCGGCGGGCGCTGGGAGATGCTCCCTGCCCTCAATGGCCCTGTGGAGCCCAAACCCGCGCGCCCCAGCAGCACTGCACACCAGCGGTAAGCAAGGCAGCGCACCACAGGACATTTTACAGTTTTTCTGTTAGGTTTAGTGGATTTTTCCTTTCTCTCCGTGTTTTCACCAGAGCGGTTTCCTTGTGTGCTGCTCGTTAGGACCTTGCAGAGAGGGGAGGTCACACCCAGGTGCGGGGAAGGACCGTGTCCTTCCAGCTGCTCACAGAATTCCTGTTTTTGGATTGGCCAGGGAGGAGAACAGAGCTCAGCTGTGGCTGTGAAGTGCTTCTGTGTAGTACTGCGCATCTGGTAACCTCTGGTACCTCACAGGGTGTAAAACCTGCTCTGTAAGAGCTCTTCTCCTTTCTGTTGAGCTCTGCTGTGCTGGGGAGCGCCCCCGGGACAGGCAGCCCGGTGTGCCCCAGGTAAACCCGAGCCTTGCAGCGCCGTGGCTGACACCAGCTCCCTCTGGAGAGCCCCCAGAGCTCTACGGGACGGCGCTGGATTTGATGGTTTTGTGAATCAAAGCCGTGCCATGCTGTGCTCTCTGCAGGTGCAGGGCAGGGTCCTCCTCTGCTGCCCTGTGCCAGAGCCTGGCTCAGGCCTGGGGGAGTGCACAGACCGCACAGGCAGACGTGTGGCAATAGAGGGGACGGGCAGTGTGACTGTCTGGATGGAAAATTCCTTGTCAGACCGCTCAGATGTGACTTCAGGAGCGTTCGGTGCTGGGGACTCTTGTGCAAGCAGCTGCAGCCCTGCAGTGGATCAGTGCTGTCAGCCCGGGTTATCTCACTGCCTCCCCACGGAGTTTGTACCCTCAGCACCTTCTTCTTCTTCAGCTCTGTGCGTGAGCTGCACGACACCAAATCCCTGCTGTCACAGCACTCTGCTGTGCCACCCCTGTCCCATAAAGCACAACCTTCCCAAGCACACCTCGCCTGTTCAAACCTAAAAACGTCCTTTGGCAGCTTATTCCACCAAAAGTAATTTCCCTGGGTGTTGTGGTCCTTTTCCTGCCCTGTTAATATTAATTTCAATGCCTGCACCCACCTCCTGCCTGCTGGGTTTTGCCTTGGTTGCTGAGCTTTTCCAGAACAGGGATTTTGAGCATCCAGTATCCTCCTTCCAAAATAATGATACTTGCAAATATTTATAAAATCATTCCCCAGATGTTTATTTAAGAAATCAAAACTCTGGAACTCTGTGATGTCTCTCATTCAAAGACATTTTCTCCTCAATTCTAGAACAAATACTTTTCCTTGCTTTTCTGCAACTTTCTAGGTTTTGTCCTGTTTGGTATCAGCCCTTCTTACAGTACATTTATATAGGGAGCTTTCCCTCCAACTATTTTCTTTCAGAGCCTTCTCCAGAGGGGGAACTTCTCCATATTTTTCATAATAATCCAAAAAGCAGGTTTTTACTTTTTAAGGCCTGTCATTGCTCAAAATTCTGGTTTTGCCTTCTGAAGAAATGTGTTACAAGAGAATAAATTTGTCATTTCCGTGGCTGGGGCTGGGGCTGGCTCTGTCCCTGCTGTGCTGAGGGGTGGCCCTGCAGAGGATGGGGGGCACTCGGGGGGCTCGGGGCTGGAAGCTGCTGCCTCTGTCCTCCCCGTGGCAGCTGCTGAGTGCCCAGCACAGGCAGGATGGGCTGTGCTCGCTGGGTGCCCTGTGCTCTGCCCCAGGCTGTGGCACTGGCACCCGGGGGAGAGGAGAGCTTAGCCTAGCTTAGCTTGCTCCTGCTCCATGCAAATGTGCTGCCTGGCACACCTGGGCTGCCCAGAGCTTTTGAGTACGTGTGAATGGTGAGTACCCAACCTCGTTCATCCTCTAGGTGTGATCTATGATTTCTTCATAGAACCTTCACACCTCTCCAGAATTGCCTTTGACATGACAGCTGAGTTTCTTAATGCCTGACCCCCTTGCTGTCTGTGCCAAAACTCTTCCTTCTCCTGAGCCCTTCTGGGGTGACTGACACATCTGATCCCGCATGGCAGAGCAGGGCTGCCTCTTCTCCTGGTGTCTCCTGCTGGTGCTCCCACCACGGGCTGAGCAGCTGCCCAGCACTGCCCTCTGCTCCCCTGGGTGAGAGCGTGCTGCTCCCTGCTCGGGCACAGCTGAGGCCGTTTGTTCCGTGCTGTCACCGTGCTCTGGCTGCTGGTGCCCCAGCACGGGGCAGGGCTGGAGTCCCCATCCCCGGGGACCTACAGCCCCGTGGGTGTGGCAGGGACCTCAGCAGTGATGGAGGCACAGTTGGACTCTCAGAGGGCCTTTCCAATCCAAACGACTCTGACTCCATGGTGGGGCTGTTTGCAGTGCTCCGAAGCTGGTGCCCCGAGCAGCCCCGCTGCCCCGTCCCCGCTGGCCCAGCGCAGCTCCCGGAGCTCTCAGCCAGCCCGGGGCCACAGCCTGGCCCTGCCTGCTGCTCCCCTGTGCCCCAGCCTCGGCTGCTGCCGCACAAACGGGCTGGCTGCCGAAGGGCAGCAGGGTTCCTGTGCCTGGGCAGCTCCCAGCAATGGTGCAGCTGGGAACAAGGGGCTGTGCCAGACCCACGGCGCCTTTACTGGCACCTTCTCTGCCTCTCGTCCTGCTCCGTCGCCAGCAAGGGGCTGGACAATGGGAAACAGCCAGTCTGTGATTTTTAGGATCACCTTTGAGCCCCTTTGTCCCACAGTGAAACTTTAGTCAGCTGGGACCCTTCTGAGCCCAGTCAGCCCCAGGTATGTGTCCTGGAACTCTGTGATGTCCTCTGGATGTCCTCTGTGATGTCCCCTGTCCTCATCTCCTGTGGTGAGGAAGCATCCCTGCCCCAGGATGGCCGGGGCAGCTGTGTCCTGGCACTGGGGTCTGTGCCTGAGGCAGGGGCTCCAGGCCGTGTGGAGAGCCCACAGTCACGGGATCCCCAGGTCTGTTACTTGTAAATAAAATGAAAATGTACCTAGAAGGGCACAATAGACAATGACCATAAAAAATGATCCAAGATGGAAATGTTCTGGATATTCAGCATTTCTCCCATCAGGCCACTTAGATCTTTGCTTTCCAATTTAATTTTGAAATGTTCTACTGCTGGCTATGGTGAGTAGCGATGGATTATGACTTAGTGGGAGGTTAGTGCCCTGTTAATCTGTGTAGTAAAAAGTCTGTGCTGAGATGTAGAACCTTCTGTGGCTCATAAGAGAGGGCAGATCTGGGCTTTGCTCCCCCAGAGATTTTAGTTTAAAAACTCTGCTAAAAAGCAGAGTTTTAGTTTTGTGTTAGCCCCGTGGTACGTGGGCTTGTGTTAAGTGTTCAATTCCTTCCATTTAACTTTGGAAGTTGCACTGTCTACCAAAGTGTTTAAATTATTCGTTGTCTTCATGAAGCTGGTGTTTGAACTCCTGTTCCCTGTAGTGTCACACTTGCTCCTCAGCCATCAGTGGTTCATGTGCTTGAGGCTGACCCTTGCTGGCAGAGGGGTGGAAGCACACAAACCCATCTCCTGTGTTTGTTGGGAATCAGGTGCTGGCTCTGCTCCCCCTGCTCGTAAGCTCGTTGCATGGTGTGTCTGCCTGTCCTCTGTGTTTTCTGGGAGCAGCACTGAGAACTAAAAGGCAGGAAATGTCACTTTTTAAGGAAGTCAGGCAGACTATTTTCTTGTCTGAAGCACAAGTCATCCTGCCCTTGATGCATGGTGGGGCTCACCAAGAATCGGGAGTGTAGTCCCAGCTCCTACTGCAATGACAGCAGGAAAAATGTCCTTGAAACCCATGTATGTGTTAAAAACACCAAACCCAGGAAACCTCTGCTCCTGGGGTGTCTGTGCCCAAAATCTGCTTTCCCTGTGTGTCCCTCAGGCAGCTCGTGCCTTCTCCTGTTGTTGTGGGGCCCTGCGAGTGCCACTGCCCTGGGAGGGGTCCCTCTGTCCCTCGGCCTGTCTGTGACTGCTGTCCCTGCCAGAGGAGCCTGTGGGGTCCCTGTCCTGGCCCAGCTCTCCAGCCAGTCCTGGTGGCACAGCCCAGGTCCCGCTGGGATGGGTGGTGGGCTCTGGGGAGGGTCGGGGCACATTTGGGAGTGGCTGCTGCAGAGCTCGTGCTCAGGGAGCTGGCACTGCTGGTGGCCAGCTCTGGACGCCTGGCATGCTCTCTGCAGCCATGGTGTGTTTCAGTTGTTCACTTTCTCCTGATTTCTCAACCAGAGAATGGAATGTTTAAGGGAATTGTTGTGCTAGAGTAAATAAAGGAGTCCTGTTCATTACCAGATTATAGAGTGCCTTATTTTGAAAGTTTGGGAGCACGTTTTCTGCCTGCCTCTTTGATCCTTTAACTCTTTGACAGTCACCTTATTCCATTCCTTGGTCTCCAGGGTGGTGGGAGTCCTGACTTTTGCCCTGAGACAGAGCATCCCCATGGCATTGCCAGGACTGCCCTCAGGAATGGCTGTGGGGAGGGAGGAAACGTTTCTTGCTGCATACAGGATTTCAGTCAATAGTTGCAAATTCTTCCTCTTGTCTCGTGCTCTGTGGGAGGGAGGCAGCTCAAAGGTGGCTTGGACAGTGAGAGGAGGAGCTCCCATCACTGTGCTGCTGCCCCTCTGGCCTGCAGGCTGAGGGGAATGCCTTGCTGGCTCCTCTGGGATGGCAGTGGGGGCAAATTAGAGCAGAAATGATCCAGAGGTGTAGTGTGAAACTTGGGATGCATGGCCAGTGGTTGTGGATAGGCTGGTTATGGAGCTGACCTGGACAATTCTCTCCAGTGGAAGGAGCTGTTGTGGATAACCAGAGCAGCACTGGGGCGTTCCTGGGGGAGCAGAAGAGACAAAGCACGAGCTCTGGTGGGTGCTGTGTCCCTGAGGATGTCAGTGGGGCTGGGGACTCCTTGGAGCAGGAGTGGTTGCTCAGGTGTCTGTGAGGAGCTGTGTGGGAGGCACGGCGGGGCTGTGGCACTGGTTTGTCACCCCTGCTCAGTGGAGTGGCACTGGGACACCCCTGGATCTTCCCAAGGGAGTGTTCACAGGGGCCCAGGCTCCTCCCCTGATTCCACCAGAGCTGAGGCAGCTGAAGTAGCCCAGGTGCAAGAAACCTGTGTTTTAGTGGTTGTATTCAACCCTCTTTCTGCTCTGTTAAAGGGTTCTCTGGATGGACACAAATGCTCTTTGTGAAAATGAGAACAGGGTCAGGGATTTGTACCTGGTTTGTGATTTCTATCCATTTTTCTGCATGAGAAGTCAACCAGCAGCACAGGCAGGCTTCTGCTTTTGTAGAATTATATTTAAAAGTGGTCTCTGAAATTCTTCTGTGAGGAAAGTGTCCTGTCTTTCCCACAACTCCAACTCTGATCTTGTCTGAACAGATTCAGCTGCAGTTTTCCATTTCCCCCTAGGTGAGGGCAGGATTTGGTGGTGCAGAGCCCTTGTGGTTGTGGCAGTGGCTCTCTCAGCGTGCTCAGGGTGAGGGTACAGAGCTCCCCAACCACCCTCAGCTCACCCCATGTTTGAGGGGTTCAGAGGGGCCCCTGAGGCTGCTCAGGATGTGCAGGGACAGTTTTGGTCAGCTCTGCTCTCAAGTAATCTGCAAGTACAGAGCATGGTCAAACCTGTCAGTTATCCACTGCAGATGACGTAATAAAGATAATTTTCCATTTTATTTTAAGACTGTGAGAAAGGGAGAAAAACACCATAATGACGTGTCTAAAGCCCCGAAGACACTTGCAACAATCTTAGACTCATTTCCTCAATAATGCTTTTATTTTGCAGTTTTGGTGATGATGTGTCTGTTTTCCTTCTGCTAGATCTCTAATTTATTTGGGTCTGATGAGTCTTTCTGCTGGCAGCAGTTCTAGGTAATGTCTTTAAGGGGAGATTTGGCTGCTGTGCTGTGTGTGATGGATGGTGCCTGCTCCTGTGCCGAGGGAGGGCTGAGGAGCAGCTCCTGGCATGCCTCCCCAGCACAGACACCGTGCCAGGGCAGTTTGTTGTGGGCCCCAGCTGAAGATGATAAACACTCCCAGCTGTCCTTTCAGAAGGGTGGCACAGGATGGGGATTGTTGTAAGGGAAGCAAAGAGTGACACAGACACAGAAATCAGATTTGTGCTGACGTCTGTCAGGACTTCTGTGCTCCTCTGGGGACTCTGGGATTGCAGAATCATGGAATGATTTACGCTGGAAAACCCCTCTAAGATCTTTGAGCCCAGCTGTGCCCCTAGCACTGGCAAGCCCACCACTAACCCATGTTTTACTTTTCAATTCCCTCTTATCCTTAGATAAAATAAAACCCCTCTCCCCCACAATTCCAAAATAAACAGAAAGATTTGTGGCTGAAATTATTGTCCTGAGTGGAGCAGGGCTCAGTCTTGCAGAATTGGAGCTGGCCCAGCAAGGGCAGCCTGGACGAGGTGCCTCATCTCAGGAGGCATGGAGAGGAGTGTGTCATTGTGCCCGTGCTGGGTGCTGTGTGTGGGTGACCTGGCTCGGGGCTGTCACCGGCCAGCCCTGGGGTGGCTGCTGTGGGCAGGTGACGGGACAGGCAAGGGTGCCGTGGTTTTGGGAGCCAGCCTTCAGGGGAACTGCTTTTTGGGGTGGCCAGTCTTCACCACAGAAGACAGATGACATCTATAAAATCCCCAGGGACCGAGATTTAAACACTTGTCAGGTGTGGATGCCGGGGTCCCGTGCTGCCGGGGGTGTCCTGGGCCCGGCTCCCCGCTGCAGCCCAGCGCCCCATTCCCAGCACTGGCCGTGGCCCTGGCACGGTGTCCGGGGTGTGCGTGCCAGGGCCTTGTCCCCACGGCCGTGCCCTGCCTTGCAGGCCTGCAGTGCGTGTGCCAGCTGTGCGAGCACACCAACTTCACCTGCCACACGGAGGGCGCCTGCTGGGCCTCGGTCATGCTGACCAACGGGCGCGAGGAGGTGGTCAAGTCCTGCGTGTCCCTGCCCGAGCTCAACGCCCAGGTCTTCTGCCACAGCTCCAAGAACATCACCAAGACCGAGTGCTGCTACACCGACTTCTGCAACAACATCACGCTGCGCCTGCCGCTCGGTGAGTGCCGGAGCGCGGGGTCAGCCTGTCCGTGGGCCGGGCACACTGCGGGCCTGTCCCGGCCTCCTCCAGAGAGGGCAAACTGCAGCCTGTCCGTGGGCTGGGGCTGGCTGGGCACACTGCGGGCTTGTCTCAGCCTTCTCCAGAGAGCAAAAGCCAAACTGCAGGCTGTCCGTGGGCTGGGCACACTGCGGGCCTGTCCCGGCCTCCTCCAGAGAGCAAGAGACAAACTGCAGCCTGTCCATGGGCTGGGGCTGGCTGGGCACACTGCGGGCCTGTCCTGGCCTCCTCCAACAGCAAAAGGCAAACTGCAGCTCTGCCTGCAGGAGAGGGAAGTTCTTGCCTTTCCAAGGGTATCCCCACTGCTGGCCTCGATGTCCTATGGGCACAGGGTTTTGGTAGGGCAGAGCAGCGGGGCACCCCAAGGCACTGCAGGGACCCCCTTGGCCGAGGCAGGCTCAGCGGTCTGAGCCTGGGGTGCCGTGGTTGACGAGAGCAGCCCGTGAGGCAGCTGGTGCCACACCGGTGCCACCGAGTCCTGCTCAGCAGGGATGGGGGGCTGTGAGATTCCTGGTCCTAATGAGAGGGAGGAAAAAGGCTGGCACTCCCAGGAGCGCTGTGTCACCCAGCTGGTGCCGTGTGTGAGTCTGCCAGGCTCAAAGTCGTGTAACAAAGTTGATTTGGTGCTTTCTAAAAAGAAATATTTATACTATTTTTAGCATAATTTTAGTTTTATTTTTTTCTTCTTTCTAAGATTTGGAAAGAAAAGCCAAATTTTGTGTTAATTCCAGGCTTTTTTTTTAAAAAAAATGGTGTAAAATACACTATTTTATCAGATAGTACCTTTTTATATACTTACAATAATGAGATATGTTGCAGGTAAGAAAGACGCAAATTAACACACAATTTAAAATTATAGCTTGAATTTCAGAAGCTATCATGTAGTTCTTAGTGGAATTTGAAAGGCTGTTGCTGGGCAGACCATGGGGGAGCAGCTGTGGGAGCCTTGGGCACTGTCACCTCCTGGTGAACCCTGGTACCAGCCTCACCTGTGCTGTGGGGCAGGAATCAGGAGTATTTAATTGGTGCTAAGGATAATTTGTGTGATGCTTGTATCCCCACAGATGAGTGGGGATACAAGCATCATCAAGTCACCCTAGGACATTGTTTTTCTTTCAGCTGACCACAGAAGGGACACACTAATTGTGGTCATGCTCTAGAAATAAAGTGCCATGGTGGTTTCTCCAAGCTGCGAAGAAAGCTGCTATTTCTAGAGGAGCAGCAGAGGCACATCTGCTGTTCCAGCACTTGAGCTGGGACTTGCAAAATCTCTGGTTTCATATTTCATTTCCCAAAAAAAGAGGACTGAATTCCTCCCCTGAGCCCTTTGCTCTAACGGTTCAGGGGAACTCGTGTCAGTGGGAATTGTAGCAGTGCAGTGAGGTTTCTGTGCTGGCCTTGCCCCACAGCCCTTCCTCACACAGCCCATGCTGCCACCAAGGGCCGTGGGGACAGCTCAGGGCCAGCCCCTTGTCCCAGACATCTGACAAGGGGCACTTGGGACAGACACCTGGCTAGGGAAGGTCTGTTGTGCCTTGTCTGTATCACCTACCATCCATCCGTCCATCCATCCATCATCCATCCATCCATCATCCATCCATCCATCCATCCATCCGTCCATCCATCCATCATCTATCTATATTTATCTACCTATCAATCATCTATCATCTGTCTATCTAACCATCTATATCTGTCAATCATCTATCAGTCATCTATCGATCTGTCTATATCTATCATCTATCTATGTATCATCTATCTATTTATCAATATATCAATCTATCTATTATCTGTCTATCTATAGCTATATAACTGTCTCTATTTCTGTGTCTATTTCTGTGTCTATCTCTATATCAATCTCCTTATCTATATCTATATCTATATCTATATCTATATCTCTATCTATTAATCTATATCTACCTTTGTGTGTGTGTGTATATGTATATGTATATATTTCTATCTTTGTGTGTATATTCATATATATATATATATTTATGTATATACATATACATATGTCTGCCCACTTACCTGCTGACCTGTCTATCTCCATTGAGCAGATTCTAGTTTATAAGAGGAGCATGTGGGCATGAAAAGCTTGCCTTTAGGCAGGAGTGACTCTCCTGGAGGAGAAACCCTGAGAAGGTCCAGCATGGTGCCCACCCCTGCCAGGGAGGCAGGACCTCAGTGTCCTTCTGGGACACAAACCCACCTCAGTTCCTCTCCGTGGAGCTGGCCTGCCCCAGCTCAAAGGCTGGAAGGGGCTGGGAGCAGCCTGCACTGATGGGGAGTGTTCCTGCCCATGGCAGAGCTTGGGACCAGCTGAGTTTTAAGGTTCCTCCCAACCCAAACCATTGTGGGATCCTGTGACTGTAATTAGCAAAGTTTTATGTTGTAGAGGAGTGCCTGGAGAGCGGTGAGAGGATCTCTGAGGGCAGAGGACAGTGTGTGCTTTGGTGCCCGAATTCCCCTGGCAGAGCTGCAGGTGGCAATGCCTGCCCTGGTCAGCACAGGGCTCTGGGCTGGGGCCTTGGGTGACAGGGGATGACTTTTCCCTTGAGGTTTTTTTTCTTTCCTTGGTTTCTTTTTTTACAATGTCTGAAAATTTTTAAGGATGGATTAAACCTGGATCTCTGCTTTTATATCCTGCTTCTCGTGGGCAGGGATTTCATTGTGGCACATTGCATTAGCAGGTGAAAATTCAAGGATGAGTTTGCAGTTACTGAGTTTTTTTCTGTGTCACCATGGATTCCTTTCCAGGTTTTTGCTGGTTTAACTGGGGTGCTTTCTGCCCCAGTAGGTGACTTGAAATGTGCTTGTCCTGTCACAGCAGGGCTACAGAAAACACCTTGAGGGATCTCCCCATGATAAATCACCCCTTGTACAACCCTCATTATTGTTTTCTCTGCAGAGCTCACCACCGTGCCCTCAGCATGGAACAGGCTGCCTGCAGTAGTTGCTAATCAGACCTTGATTTTTCCAGCTGTAGATTTGTTTCTCACAGGATTTTTGGGCCACATTTGAGATCTGGGAGACAGAGTTTATGATCTCTGCCTCCCCCACAATGGTGAGTGGAGTCTGTATTCATGGTGGAAGCTGGAGAAACTTATTTTAGACTCTAGCCCAAACTGTATTTTTAAAGTGGTTTTAAGTATTATGTAGAGCTGACTAGAGCATCCCCATTAATAGAATGCAATAGATTTTCTTACTAGATTGGAAAGAATATGTAATTTTGCCCCCTGAGTAGCCTGGGAACACACACAGTTCGGGGCTTTTGGAAGCCTTGCAGTGGAAGCTTTACAGTGTCAAAAGCAAATGCTGTGTGTGAGAATGTATTTTCCATTGGAGAGAAAAAATATTTTTTTTTTCTGCCTGCAAGTACTATTTTGTTTACAGAAGCTGGACCATAAGTGCAGTGCATTGTGAAACTGCTGAGCACTGCCAGATGTGCAGCTTTTGGGTCACACGTGGCAGCATCTCAGCCCCACTCCTGTTAGTCAGCCAGTGGACAGAGCATTGGGTGCTGGTGTGCTGCATTGCACAGCAGTGCAGGAGTGCTGCATTGCACAGCAGTGCAGGAGTGCTGCATTGCACAGCAGTGCAGGAGTGCTGCATTGCACAGCAGTGCAGGAGTGCTGCATTGCACAGCAGTGCAGGAGTGCTGCATTGCACAGCAGTGCTGGTGTGCTGCATTGCACAGCAGTGCAGGCTGCTGGTGCTGGACGTGCAGCAGCCTCAGGTGCAGCTGGAGCTGCTGGCCGTGCTGCCGGGGGCAGGGAAGGCAGGTCAGTGCTGGAGCAGGGATCTCCGCTGAGCCTGGGGCCAGTCTGGAGCGTGCCCTGCCCAGGCCCTTCCCAACAGAGCAGCTCTTGCCGCTCACACCTCCTGATGATTTTCCTTTTGTTGCTGTTTTTGTTACTGCGGTGGCCCAAGAACAAGAAACTTCGATTTTGTTCATGTCATGTTGTTTTCCAGCAGCTGGTGGGAAGAAATGACGTGGTGTGGTCAGCGTCTCCTGCAGGGAGGAATGAACCTCATTCCCACCCGGAATGAGGCTGACAAGCCCTGTGGGGAGGGGGCTGCTTGGATGGCACAGGGGAGGCGCTGAACAGCCAGGGGACAGCTCATGCCCTGTGCTCTGTACCCGCTGTGAGCCCGTCCCCTGGCTGGCACACAGCCAGTCCTGTCCTGCAGTGTCCCCAGCACAGAGCCACCAGTCCTGCTGTCCTGCATAGTGTCCCCTGTACAGTGTCCCCAGCACACAGCCAGTCCTGTCCTGCAGCGTCCCCAGCACAGAGCCAGTCCCACTGTCCTGCACAGTGTCCCCTGCACAGAGCCACCAGTCCTGCTGTCCTGCGGTGTCCCCTGTACAGTGTCCCCAGCACAGAGCCAGTCTTGCTGTCCTGCGGTGTCCCCTGCACAGTGTCCCCTGCACAGAGCCACCAGTCCTGCTGTCCTGCAGTGTCCCCAGCACAGCCTGGGGTGGCAGGGCTGGTTCAGCGAGGTGCCAGAGCTCCTGGGGTGGAGGATCTCTGTACTGTACTCCCTCCCTGTTTCGGGGAAACCTCAGCCCTGTGGAAACAGAATGAAAAGTGCTTAGGAGATCCTGGGATGTCAGTTAACAAGCAGTAGTTCCAAGGAGGAATCCTGCTCATAAATCCTCTGACAAACCCTCTGGGTCACCCTGGAGCAGCCTCTTGAAGTCATCAAAGGGAAAACCTATGAACAAAATGTACCAGCTTTGTGTTTAGGAGGGCTGCAGTTGTGCTGGTGAACAGACATGGTATTGACTGCAGGAAGGTAGCAGTGGGTGCTGAGCCTGTTTGCTGCTGCCTTTGAGACCCCACGTCACTTTGGTCACTCTCAAACTCCAGGTTATGGTGTTCTTGAGGCCCAGCTTCTCCCTGAAGGGAAGGAGTGACCTGGCATGGGGTGGAGTTCGTGATTCTTACATCTTCTGTAGCCCTGAGATCTTGTTTGTACTCATGGTTCTGAGTATTGAGGTTTCTTTTATGGGTCATATTCCTGGTTTGTTTTGTTTGGGGGAAAAACACTGGTTGATTTTTCTTTTAAACTTATTTCACATTTTGGGGAAATGAAAAGAATCATGTGTGTGTTCCTGGGCAAGTGAATCCCCTAGCAGTGTCTTTCTAGAGCTTCTTGATATAGAGCTCCTTGGGTGGTGGTCAGAATGCTGGCCTGAGACCAAGCTCCCTGCACAGAAGGCGTGTGGGGAAAGGCTCCATCATTTGCAGAAACGTGGTCTGCTCTGTCTGTTCTCTGTCCTGGCCAGGACAATGGTGGGACAGCATCGAGTGGAGAAAAGGAGACTCAGGGGTGCCCTCCTCACTCTGCACAGCTCTGAAAGGTGCCTGTGCTCAGCTGGGGCTGGGCTCTTTCTCATCTATGATTCTGTGTGATTCTATGTGAATCTCTTTCAGTGATTCTGTGTGATTCTGTGTGACCCTGTGTCAATCTGTGTGGTTCTGTGAATCTGTGATCCTGTGTGGTTCTGTGTGGATCTGATATTGTGTGATTCTGTGATCCTGTGTGCACCTGTGATTGTGTGAATCTGTGTGATTCTGTGAATCTGTGACTGTATGATTGCATGAACCTGTGATTCTTTGTGATTCTGTGATTCTGTGTGAATTTGTGATTCTGTGATCCTGTGTGAATCTGATATTGTGTGCTTCTGTAATCCTGTGTGAATCTGTGATTCTGTGATCCTGTGTGAATCTGATATTGTGTGCTTCTGTAATCCTGTGTGAATCTGTGATTCTGTGATCCTGTGTTCCGCCCGGGGCCGGCGCCGCCGCCCGCCCAGCGTGGAGGAGCCGCCGTGCGAGGGCAGCCTGGTGGGCTCCGGGAAGACGCTGAAGGATCTCATCTACGACATGACGACCTCCGGCTCCGGCTCCGGTAGGTGCGGGGCCCTGCCCGCCCCGCGGGGTTTGTGCCGCTCGCGCTGCCCGTGGGGCTTTGGGGATGCTCTTCTTCTGTCAGACCACAAAAATCCTGCTCCTCGTTGGAATGGAGGCGTTAAAAAAGGGAACTCGGACATCAGAACCAGGGGTGAAACCCAGCGCTGCCGGCCGATGCAACATGGCAGATAATGAAAGGCGCTGAGCTCGCCTGGATAGCTCAGGATGATGCTTCCAAAATATTTTGTGTTTCATAGCAGAATTCCTCCAAATTCTTGTTTTGTGGAGAAAGGCAGAACATTCATATTTTTAGCATTTTCCCATTTCGGATGTCTTGCCTACTGTGATGCCTCCATTGCTATTGAGAGCTTGTTAAACCAAAGAAACCTAAAAATGAGGTGGGAATCCACAAATCCCAGCTCATTTGACCAGTGACACTGTCTGGGATGTACAGCCCAGCTTTCCTAACTAGAGCTTTTATTGAAAAGTATGTAAACTATGCTTGCTTAAGTGAAAAACGTACAAATGGTGCCTAATTAAATTTATTTCCATGAGCTGCATACCTCTGAGGATTAAGTTGTTGTTCTTCCCTAATGCCTTTTCACGGCTCTACTGAGCAGACTTTGGCTTTATTTATGCTGAAGTTTTTAACTGTTCCCTGAACCAGGAACAGGGCTGGACTTGGGCAGAGCCAAAGCCCCATGCACTGGGGTGATTTGTTCTGATTTCAGCCAAAATCAAGGTTGCAGTTATTAAAATAAAATTTAAAAAAAAAAAGAAAAAAATGAATAATTCCTTGTTTTAAGTACCCAACAAAGACAGAATCCAAAGGCAGGGTTTGTGGCTGGCAAAGCACAGTGGGTCTGCTGTAGTAGTAACAATAACAATAATAACAATAATAACAATAATAATAATGCTTTAATTATAATAATTATTTGTATAAAGTATTAATTAATAATTAATTATTATAATAATTAATTTATCTTAATCATAATAATTTATATTTAGTTTGAAACATTTCAGCCAGAGTAGAGCAACTAATTGACTGCAGGACAGCTGCGGACTGTATAAAACCAAATGGAGTAGTTCAGGCTAAATTTTAAGATTTTTACTGGGGTTTTAAAAAGTTTTTTCTATGTACGGACACTGGGAAGTCACATCAAAGAGTCTGACTTGAGGAGGTATTGGGTGGGAGGGGATTTTCCCTTGGCAGCGTGGGAAAGCAAAGCCATGAGCGCAGCTCACGGGAGAGGGCGGTGCTGGGGTTTGGAGGTCCCAGCTGAGCAGTTTCACCCGCACCTGCCTCTCTTTTTCTCTAGGTCTGCCTCTGCTGGTCCAGAGAACCATCGCCAGGACTATTGTCCTGCAGGAGATCGTGGGGAAAGGGCGCTTCGGCGAAGTCTGGCACGGGAAGTGGTGCGGGGAGGACGTGGCTGTGAAAATCTTCTCCTCCAGAGACGAGCGGTCGTGGTTCCGGGAGGCAGAGATTTACCAGACGGTCATGCTGAGGCACGAGAACATCCTGGGCTTCATCGCTGCCGACAACAAGGGTGAGCATTGCCGCGGGCTGCCGGCCTCCTGCACGGCTCCCTCTGCTCCTGTGTGCTGGCCCGGGCAGGGCTGGCGTGTGGCCGGGCTCCGTGGGCTTGCAGTGCTTCCCAAACAAATCGTGGCACTCACTGGATGCTGAGTGTCTGTCCCAGCACAGCTTTCACTGCCCTGGCCCCATCTGAAACACAGCCCTGGGCTCCTTCCCGGGACACAGCTGGCACACCTCCTTGCTTGCATCCCAAAAACGGGAAGGCTTTCCCTGGCTACCATTTTTAATACTCCTGCTTCCTCTGGCTAGATAATGGGACGTGGACTCAGCTCTGGCTTGTCTCCGAGTACCACGAGCAGGGCTCGCTGTTCGACTACCTGAACAGAGGCACGGTGACCGTGGAGGGCATGGTCAGGCTGGCACTGTCCGTGGCCAGCGGCCTGGCCCACCTCCACATGGAGATCGTCGGCACGCAAGGCAAGTGCTTCCCTCATGCTTTTCCTTCAAATATTCCGTGTTCTCAAAAACGTTTATGGGCGATGTGGTATGGTGAAGTGTGTTCCAAACTGCTGACACCAGGGGGAACAGTGTGAGTGGTGCAGGGCAGACAGGGAAGAGGGACATTCCCTTCCCACTTCCACTGTCTGCACTCCATCCATGCCTCTAAAGAGATGCCTACCGAAGCAGCTCTGCTGAAGGGGAGTCAGCACTAATGAAGGAAAAATTAGGAAAATTTCTTCATGGGAAGGTTTGTCCAGCCCTGGCACAGGTTGCCCCAGGCAGTGGGGAGGTAAAAGCTGTGTGGATGTGGCACTTGGGGAAATGGGTTAGTGATGGCCTTGTCAGTGCTGAGGAATGGTGGGACTTGGTGGTCTTGGAGGGTTTTTCCAACCCAATCCATTCAGTGATTTTCTAAACAAATTTGGACGGTGACCTTCCATTTTCTCTTTTTGTGTTTTATTGCTGAAAGACAGATATTGGAAAAAAAATTGCCCTTAAAGTTTTTTTCTGACGTTGAGAACATTTAGCAGAGCTTTGTTTGGTTCAAAATAGGCTTCAATATTTCTATAGGGTACAGTAACAAAAGTGAATAAAACTGTTTCTACATCCTTGCTCCTTATATTAAAGTCCACGCTGTTGTTATCAAAATTGGAGGCGGTTTCTCTTGCTGTGAACAGGGAAGCCAGCGATCGCACACCGGGACCTGAAGTCCAAGAACATCCTGGTGAAGAGGAACGAGACCTGCGCCATCGCCGACCTGGGGCTGGCGGTGAAGCACGACTCGGTGCTGAACACCATCGACATCCCGCAGAACCCGCGCGTGGGCACCAGGAGGTGGGTCAGCACTGAGCTCCGTGGGGACGGCCCCTCGCAGCCCTGTCCCCAGCAGCCACATCCCCTCTGCCCTGGCACCAGGGATGGCTGCAGACCCTGCTGTGGGATGGAGCTCTCTGCCCCACGGGGGGCACCGTGTGAGCCTGGTCACCCCAGTGCTCTGGGCTGGGCAGGGCACAGCTGCCAGCAGCACCAGGGGGCATGGGGCACGTGGCAGCACAGCTGTGGCATTTTGAAGGAGCTGTCCCAGCAAACTGACCCTGTGTGCCCCAAAGGTACATGGCCCCCGAGATCCTGGACGACGCGATGAACACGAACATCTTCGAGTCCTTCAAGCGCGCAGACATCTACTCCCTGGGGCTGGTGTACTGGGAGATAGCCCGGAGGTGCCCCGTTGGAGGTGAGCCTTGGCCTTTTCCCCCAGTCCCAGATGGGTTTGGGTTGGAAGGGACATTAAATCTCTTCTCATTCCCCCCCTGCCATTGCCCAATACATCTTCCCCAGGAATCACCGAGGAATACCAGTTGCCTTACTACGACCTCGTGCCTTCTGATCCTTCGATAGAAGATATGAGAAGGGTTGTCTGTGAGCAGAAGCTCAGACCAAGTATTCCAAACCAGTGGCAAAGCTGTGAGGTAAAAGCAATTTTCTAGTTTATTCTAAGTTCATTTTGTAGGGTTTTTTTTTCTAGTTTTATTTTGTTATTTATATTTTCAAATTTAAATTAAAACAGAACTTTTCAGTGAGAGGTAGGGCACTTAATGCCCAGCTTCTCCTGAATTTAGAAGCTTCAGATGTCAAGCTGTCCTTCAGATCAATACAGAAAGAACTCTCTGCACCAAGTGCTCGATGTCCAAGGCAGGTCTTAATTGATGCTGCTGCTGCTGTGTCACCATTTCAGAGCACTGCACTTTATCTCCCTGTATTAAAACCGGAAAGCAGAGGGTGGTGGTTGTATCTCTGGCTGTTGTCTGTCCCCCTGCAGACACTGTCTGTACCCTGGTCCCATTTCTATCCCCCAGCTCCTATCTGTACCCCGGTCCTGTTCCTATCCCCCACACCCTGTTTGTACCCAGTCCTGTTTCTGTTCCCACATGCCCTGTTTGTTCCCAGGTCCCGTCTGTGTCCCCAGCCCCTGTCTGTGCCGGTCCCCTCTGTCCCCTGCCTGTGCCCAGCCTGTCTGTGCCCGGTCCCCTCTGTCCCCTCTCTGTCCCCTCTGTCCCCTGTCTGTGCCCGGTCCCCTCTGTCCCCTCTCGGTCCCCTGTGTCCCCTGCCTGTGCCCAGCCTGTCTGCGCCCGGTCCCCTCTGTCCCCTCTCTGTCCCCTCTGTCCCCTGTCTGTGCCCGGTCCCCTGTGTCCCCTCTCGGTCCCCTGTGTCCCCTGCCTGTGCCCAGCCTGTCTGCAGGCTCCGTGTCGTGCAGGCGCTGCGGGTTTTGGGCCGGCTGATGCGGGAGTGCTGGCGGGCCAGCGGCGCCGCGCGTCTCACGGCGCTGCGCGTCAAGAAGACGATCTCGCAGCTCTGCGTGCCCGAGGACTGCAAAGCCTGACAGCCCCCGCGGGACGAGAGGGGAAGGCGTTCCGCTGTCCGTCCCTGCACGTGTGGCAGTGTTTTTGTTTCTGCTCTACCTCAGACGACGCGGGTCAGCGCTGCGGTGCCCGAGGCAGAGCGCCGAGCTCCAGCGCTGCGTCCGGCCGTGGGACCAGGCAGCTCGGGACTCGCGGCTCGGGGTTGGTACAGCAAGTCCGTGACTTGCTTTGGCTTTTTTCGGTAAATCAGACACCGGTGAATGGCAGGAAGGAGCTTACAGCATCATGACAGTGTAAAAATACCTTTTGCTGTTGTGCTTTTCATCCTTGTCAGACCCCAAACGTCCTGGAAGTGTCTGGTGTTGGTTAAAGCCTGTTTGTGAGACAAACCTCATGTTCTGTCCTCAAACCGAGTAAAAGACCAAATTAACCCAGCTTTTTACCTTTTTTTTTTTTTTTAATTTTATTTCAGGGATCTGAAAAGGGGTTGTCAGTAAATGCACTTTGAATTACTATGTTTCTAATTAACCAAGCAATTAGAAAATATGGAGATTCCACTAAGTGTGCACTCTGTGAGAAAAAACCATCGAGTCAGTTCCCTATTAACATTTATTTTTATTGTCTCAATTTCACATACAATATCATGGTTAAAATTTGAGTTGCTTTACTCTGTCTTTGGTTCATTGAACAGATCAATCAAGGGACAACTTTTCTTTTTAACAGTTATTAGGAAAAATAATAGAGGCAATATTTTTCTGTTAGATGTGAAGGGATGGAATAGGAAAAATTCTACCTAAACTGAGAAAATATTTATTTTTAGCAACATTTTTCCAGCCACTGGCAGCATTTTTTTAGTGCCTTTTGATGTATTAGGGGGAAGCTTTAAAAAAAGGCAATGCAGCCTGTTCAGAGGTTTCTTACAGAATTCTGTAACAGCACCAGGCTGGTGATAAATATTTACATTTCTGACCAGGTCTCCATAATATCACAAGCCAGCAACATGAGTTGTTGTGTTAAAATTCTGTCATTTTGTGAATTTTGGCCCACTCCGTGGCCCTCATATTTGAATATAGTGTTGGAGTATTTTTAATATGCAAAATTATACATTTCGTAGTCTTATGGTTCTTTACACGTTTCTAAATCCAGCCGGCCCATGGGAATTAATCCCGAAGATGTTTCCAGAGCAGCAAAGCTTTGCAGAAATCTGATGTGGGCCCGCAGCTCCGTGGCAGGAGCGTTTGGGGCCAGATCTCTGCTGGAGCTGCTGCGGGAGGAGCGCGTTGAGCGTTCCCTGCGTGCAGCGGTGCCAGGCACTGCTGCCGTTCCCTGCTGGGCTCGCCCCCCGCTCGCTGTGGGAGCCGCTGGTTGTCCTGGGTGGGCTTTGGGCAGTTTGCAGTTTGCAGAGCTCATCCTGCAGGGCTCGGAGCTCCTCTCAGCTCTGCAGGGCGGCTTCTCGCACACAGCCAGGGCTGGCCTGGGGACCCGCGGCAGATGGACGGGCTTGCAGCAGCCTGCTCTAGTGGGAGCTGTCCCTGGCCGAGGCAGGGAGGTAAAACGAGACGAGCTTTAGGGTCTCTGCCGACCCAAACCATTCTGGGGTTCCATGACTCAGTTCTTGTGTGCTTCAACTGCACGAGCTCCCCGTGGAGCTCAGTGATGTGGCTCTGTAGGCTGTTTGAGGGGTAGTCTTGGCAGCTGCGTGATCCAAAGCCTGGCGCTGACTTGACTATCAAAAACGTTTGCAAAGCTAAGATCCAGCATCTGTTCACGTAGTATGTACAAGAACATACTTATCTTAAAAAGGAAGAATCAAAGCTATATTTTTTAAGTGGGAAAAGAGTTTTCAGTTTCCCCCTGGAGTCTCTGAAAATTGTTGACCAGCCCGTTAATTTGAACAAGACCCTTTTGGTGCCTGGCTGGGAAGTGTGGGTGGAGGATGCTCAGGCTCAGCTACTCCTCACACAGGTCACAGCTCCAGCCCCAGAAGTGCTTTAACCTTTTCCCTGGACATATCTCTTGGCATCAGACATTATGGTCTGTTTGCCCTGGCTTTTCACCCAACTCAGTATTTTTGCTCTGGTTTTCTTTTCTCTTTTGTTGTTGGGAGGTGAATGTACATTTTGATGAATTGGAGTTGAGCGTAACTGAGCCAAGGGGCTGATGTTGTTGTACTGAGCTCTGAGATGTTTGTCAACTCTACACTCCTTCAGAAAAGCTCCAAAGAACCCTTGTTTTAGTGGCCTTTCCCCTCCCTGTGGGTTTGTCCTGTTCTAATTTAAATACAGAGCTTATGCCAAGACACTTCTGTGCAGTTTAGGGAGGCTTAGGTTTCCTCAGAGGTCACAAAGCTCCTGATAATGTTCACTTAAAGCAAAAGTTCTTAACCTCATCCAAATTTTCAAGGTCAAGGATGCTCAAAACCTGTTACAACATTCAGCTTCTCCTAATTGATGCTTCTAACTGGGGGGAATTACCAATATTTTATAATTTGCTTCTAATAACAATCTAAAGTTTAATCTAGGGATTATGCACTGAAAGGGAAAGTTAATTAATGTTTCCTGTAACACCTATTTTTTTTTCATGTTACTTGAACTGCTGCCCCCACACACTCCTTTAGAAATTCAGTCTGTAATCTCTTCTGCACTTCCCTACTTTTATAATTTGCACTTAATCAAGCTCATTCCCTCACGTGACACTATGAAGAGTCCTACAATATTTTAGTAATTGCTGTGTCCCTTCTTTGCTTGGTACTAGATTCAGGAGTGATAAATGAATGAGTTTGGAAGTGTGCCCAGTCCCTGCTGGGGGTCTGGGCTTTGGGCAGGGCAAGTTCCTCTCATCCCCGGAGCTCCCGTGTCACAGGACAGGGCCAGGGTGGCACTGGGGGTGCTGCTGGGGGCAGGGGGCACTGGGGGGCACAGGTGGGCACACGCTGGTCACCTCCTGAGGGTGCAGGGGGGACAGGCACAACTCTGTGTGCTGGTGAAGGTACAGCTCAAAGCCCCTGCTTGGGTCACTGGGCTCTGTGACACTTGGGGTGTCCTTGGGGAGCCCTGGGCCAGCACCTGGGTGTCCCCAGCAGCACTGCAAACATGTCCCCTCCCCTGCCTTGGCTGTGTCTGGGATTCCAGGGACCATCCCCACAGGCTGGGGGACCCCAGCCCCCCAAAGCTTTTTGGGAAAGATGTCCATGCTCTGCTCTAATGGGCAGAGCAATATTTATGAATGTGCAGGGAATAAGCATTGAGGTACGATATATTTCTACAGAATATAAGAAATGTGCAATAAATTGTAACTTACACTGAATGTATTTTTGGCATAAATGGACCAGATGTGTTTTGAATGTAGCTATGACATTGTGTCTAAGCCTGCTGTGATTCTCAGTCCCTAAGAAAAACGTGTCATGTTTTGTCAATCTACAAACCACTTCCTCCGTTGTCTGTTTTTAAAAGAAGCGTGAGTATTTTATCTGGAACGCTGTAATATTTCTGGACTAAGTATAGCAGTGCAGTGCTAACTTCAACCCTAGTGTTGTGAAATATCTGATCTGTGTACACTGCAGAGTTATTTTTAAAACTATTGCTAAAGTTATTGCTTGATATTGCAGCTGCTTGGATGTAAATGATGGTTTAGCTGTTGTATTTTGTATGCGGATTTGGGGAAGACGTGGCAATTTTAATAAATTCAGCATACTCTGCCCTTGTGTTCCCGTGGAACTGTTATGTTCATCGTGTGAGGGGAGAGGGGTTGAGGCTGTGTGAACCTGTAGATCCCTTCCCTCGTGGCTCTTGCACCCACAGCAGTGTGAGCTCTCCCCGAGCTGCCTTTCATACAGCACTCCCTGATCCTGCTCTTCCAGCCACTGAGATTTTCAGTGGTGCAAATCTGAGTGGCACCAGCTCACCCTGAGCACTCAATTCTGGAGTGTGCGTGCTTGAAAATTCCCCTGACATAGCCATAATCCGGGAATTTAAGTCAGACTTCGTTTTAACTTAAAGCACGTCAAAATGAAATCTGCCATGCTGTGACCCAAGAAACTTCAGTGGCTTTTGAAGGATACTCTGGGGGGTTTTGGTGGGTTTTTTTTTCCCCTTAAAAACACCTTTGTATTGTAGCAGTTACTCGCGGACTCTCAGGCTCCTGCACATCCCAGGAAGGTGTCATTGTCCCGGCGCTGCTGTGGCCGGGCAGCCGAGGTCCCGACGGACCAGCAGCAGCAGCAGCGGCTCATCGCTGAGCGCCGGCTGCCGTCCCCCGGCAGCGGAGAGCTGCTCTGGCAGCAGCCGGAGGCATTTCTGCTCCCGGAGACATTCTTTTCCAGCGCTCTCGGGCGGAGCGGGTGCTGCTTCTGCTCGGGACGCGGCGCCCGGGCTGCGCGCCCCGGCCCTGCCGCGCTGCCTTGGCTGGGAAAGAGACAGGGCTGGCTCCCCACGTGCTTATTGTTCAGTAGATCACCTCCCCGGCAGCCCCTGGTGCACGCTGGGCAGCTGAGGAGGGGAGCCAGCTCCTGAGCCCCGAGGGCTCGTGTCCCGCACAGGATGGATGCCTCCTTCCTTCTGTCGGGGTAAGGCGTCGTGGGCAGCCAGCCTGCGGGCGCTGCAGCCTCGGAGCAGGAGTGTTCCATCCCTGGCAGCGCTCAAGGCCAGGCCGGACCGGGCGCGGCCCTGGAAGAAGGGGAACCATCGCTCCAGCCCTGACACCGAACCAGCGCCGTGCCAGGGAGGAGGCTGGGCCAGGGCATCCGTGCGAGATCCCCGGACACGGGAGAGCCCTGCCGGGCCCCGCTCTGCCTCCGAGCAGCTCCGAGCCCTGCCGGGCCCCGCTCTGCCTCCGAGCAGCTCCGAGCCCTGCCGGGCCCCGCTCTGCCTCCGAGCAGCTCCGAGCCCTGCCGGGGAGGGGCAGGTGGGCCGGAGGGGTGGGTGCTGGGGGTGTGGGGGTGTCTGCTGTGGTGCGGGGTGAGAGACGGGGGTGAGAGGTGCCTGCCGGCGTGAGGGATGCGTGTCGGGGGTGAGGGATGCCTGTCGGGGGTGTGGAGTGCCTGCCGGGGGTCAGGGGCTCCTGCCGGGGGTCAGGGGCTCCTGCCGGGGTTCAGAGGTGCCTGCTGAGGGTCAGGGGTGCCTGCCGGGGGTCAGAGGTGCCTGCCGGGAGTCAGGGGCTCCTGCCGGGGTTCAGAGGTGCCTGCCGGGGCTGAGGGGCTCCTGGCGGGGTTCAGACGTGCCTGCCGGGGGTCAGGGGCTCCTGCCGGGGTTCAGAGGTGCCTGCCGGGGTTCAGGGGTGCCTGCAGGGGCTGAGGGGCTCCTGGCGGGGCCGAGGGGAGCGTGGCTGTGCGGGGCGCAGAGCAGCGCAGGGTAACGGGGCTGCTGGGGCAGCTCGCACCGAGGTCCTGCTTTGTGCTCTGATGAGAGGTGTCGTTTATTTCTGCCCTCGGCTTGTTTGCAGATGAGTCACTGGGTTTCAGGAACGTCAGAAAGGGCTGCCGGAGGAAGCGAAACGCGCTTTGTTTTCAAGCACTCAGCGGGGTGACCGTGAGCAGGAGAAGGGGAAGAGGCTTTGAGTCACCCGCTGCCCGCGCTGGTCCCTGCGCCTCGGCAAGTGAGCAGATGACACACGGGGGCGCAGATATTTTTCTCAGGAAGAGAGAGAGAGCTTTCCCCGTTGCCTGCTGTGCTTTTTGAACATCTTTTTTTCTTCCCCTTAACCCGGAGGGGTTCTCCCAAGGAACTCGGAGGTGAAGGACAGACATCTGAATCCGTTGTTGTGGTGCTGCTGTGTGCACCACTTCCCTGTCGCTGTCTGTCCGGCAGGAGAGGCACAGGCACAGACCAGCCACCAGCCCTCCTCCAGGTGGGAGGACCAGAAGTTTCCTGACAGGCTGTTTCTTCCGTGAGATGCCGGGTTTTTGAGGGATGAACCTCTAGGATGGGTTTGTACTGACACTTCAGCCATCCAGGGCAATGAAGGGAACTCCTGGAGTGGGGGAGGATCCATCCCAATGCTTTCCTGGCACTAAGAGCTCATCTGCACCAGCAAATGTCATGCACCTGCTCCATGGACACCCATCCTCAGAGTCATAAATCTTCCTGGAACTCTGGCCATCCTGGAAAGGTGCAGGGATGACATCTGGCCACGGCTCTCCTTGGCACCATGCCTGTCCCAGCTCTGCCACAGCAGCCCCCTGTGCCCAGTCCTGCAGACTCTGCAGGGGCTTTGCTGTGTGTCCCTGAGCTGCTGTGCCTTGTTCCTCACCAGACCAGAGTGCTGGCTGAGGGCATTGCCCTGCCCTCGCTCTGCCACGCTTCAGCCTCTGCTCCTGGCCTTCAGCTCCTGTTTCCCTCTGCAGCTGAGCTCCTGCACTGACACCATTAGCCAGGGGCGGTGTTACTGTCCCATCTTTGCCAAGAGGTGAGCTGAGGGATGCCAGGGATGCCGAGCAAGTCAGAGTATGAACAGGTTGAGGTCAGGTGAGTGCCCGAGGCAGGCAGGGCTGCGAGGACAAATCCTGGCAGAGCAGCAGCTGCTGGTGAGAACTGTGTGCAGGAACGGAAAAATTAATCAGATTTCCGTAACTGCCAAGCCCGATTCTTAACTCCCGTGTGAGCACAAGGCACACCGAGAGCCTGGGGCTCTGCTAGGAGGGATTTGTGTAAGTCGCACCTAAACCACGGATCACGTGGCGGCCCTTCCGCTCCCGCACCCTCGGAGCGCTCACCCTGAGCCCCGGAACAGCGCTCACCCTGAGCCCCGGGACGGCACAGCATTCACCCTGAGCCCCGGCACAGCGCTCGCCCTGAGCCCCGGGACAGCGCTCCCCAGCCCCGGGAGGGCACAACGCTCGCCCTGAGCCCCGGAACAGCGCTCCCCAGCCCCGGGAGGGCACAGCGCTCACCCTGAGCCCCGGGAGGGCACAGCGCTCACCCTGAGCCCCGGGACAGCGCTCACCCTGAGCCCCGGGACAGCGCTCACCCTGAGCCCTGGCACAGCGCTCGCCCTGAGCCCCCGGCGCTCCCCGGCCCCGGCACAGCGCTCCCTGCCCGGCCATGGCCCTGCGGCGGCTGCTGCAGCCCAGCCCCAGCCCCGGCCCCGCGGACGGCAGGAGGATGCAGCACTTGGCCAGCACGGTGGGCACGCTGCCCCGCGGGCGCAGGCAGGTACGGGCTGTGGCCCAGCCCAGCACGGAGCCCCGGGCTCGCCGAGCTCCTGGGCTGGGCTGCTGCGGGGGTGACCGTCGGGCTGGTTTTGGGGTGGCAGCGCTGGCGGTGTGGGAAGCTCTGCGAGTAGCGAGGGATGCTCGGGCCGTGAGGGGCAGAGGCAGCTGAGACCGGCCCCGGCTGAACTCTGCTTTTCCAGGCGTGCTGGGAGCCAGGGAGGGTGCGTGCTGTCTGGGCGCTCCTTCCAATGTGCATTTATCTCGGCCTGGCGGCCTGGCTGCCCTCGCCTGCAAGGCTGCCAGCAGCGGCACCGCGGGCCATTCCCGTGCGGATCTGGGAGTGCTTCTGTACAGCTGCTGGGCTGAGCGGGGCAGCACAAATCCCACAGGCTGCGCTGCTGCGGCCGCCCATCGTCGGCTGAGCAGTTCAGCTCTGGAATATTCGTCTGACACAAAGAATCCCGAACAGAAAGTGTCTGTGGGTGGCGATAATCTGAAAGTATACCCAGAAAACCCGCTGCGATGTCTGTGCTCTGCGGGCTTTGCTGTGCCCGGCTGCAGAAGGGCACTCGCTGAACCTCCCCGTGTGCGAGGGGCCAAGGGGCACCCGGAGCCGGGGGAGGGGGGCTGCGGGGCACGGGCTGGGGGCCAGAGCCGCCCTCGGGGGGCGGCGCTGCTGTGGATGGGATTGGGACTGGGAGTGGGACTGGGACTGGGGCTGGACTGGGACTGGGACTGGGACTGGGACTGGGACTGGACTGGGACCAGGACCGGGACTGGGACTGAGGCTGGGACTGAGGCTGGGACTGGGACTGGGACTGGCACTGGCACTGGCAGAGCTGGACCACATCAGGGCCAAGGCTGCACTGCAGGGACTGTCCCCAGGGCAGGGGTCCCTCGCCCAGGCATGGCCCTGCTATCAGCCCTCCCATCCCCTCCCAGGGGGATCATACACGGCCTCTCTGTCCTCCCCCTGTCCCTCGGCAAGGAAGTGCACCTCCGTGAAGTGGCTGTTTCTGCAGCAGGTCACGCTGTGCCACCATTTTATCCTGCTGAAGAGACATCAGCTCTGCTGACTACAAACACCTCACTGTGAATGGAACTCCTCATTCATGGCTCCCTTTTAGGGGAAGAACCCACGTTTGGTGCTGACCTGGCTCTTCCCAGAGACCCCTCCAGGTGTCCCTGGCCTGAAGCAGGGGCCTGGCTGGGAGATGCTGTGCAGACCCTGCAGGGCTCAGGGGGTGCACTCCCCTGCCTTGGGGGTGCTTTGTGCCTCTCCTGGCAGGTGTTCACTTTATAAACACCACACAATTTTAGAGGAAAGGGACTAAAGTGAGATGAGCTCTTGGCACAACAGAGATGTGATTTGTGCTCTGAGCTTGCCACCAGCATCTGACAGGAGGATTTGACCTCCAGATGCTTTTCCTCCTGTTCAGAAAGCTCAAGCTCTCTTTTGACCAAGGCAGAGGTGTTGGTGGGATGCCAGCAGATGTTTTTAGTTCTTCTCTAAACTGCTGGTTTTATCTGTGTGCCTCAAAGAACCACAA